AATTTCTCTTAAACTTTGCTTTCAATAACCAAGATTGTGGAACATAGTTCCACTTTTCAGTACATACTAAATTAGAGAGGAAAGAATATACTTTACAAAATATCAGGAAGGCATTAATTATTAATAATTATTGTAACTTTTACAAATAAAAATCACAAGTATGCTTTAGACTAATGCATTAATTGCATATCATATTTGCTAACAACTCAGTTATGGCTTGCCCTCAGCTAGGCAGAGGGTTCCATTCCTAAGTTTTAATGAATGTTATCCTGAAGAATTTAGAATACCTCAAGTATAATGCAACTACTTAAAAAATCTAAAAGTGTGTATAGCAATCCAATTGCTTATAAAATAAATGTAGCAATGAACAGTGTGTAAATGTCATCATTTGCAGCAGTCTGTCAACTCCATCTTTTACCTGACTACACATCTTATCTGTATCATTAACTTGTTTTTCTAAAATTATGTCCACCTTCCAGCTGCAAAAGAAAATCAAAAGAAAAATATTAAACTATGGCTATTTTAGGAAAAAGTTCTTACCAACTAAATGGAATGAGAAAACTTACTTGGTTTCCATTTTATTATCTAGAACATTCTCCCTTAAAAGAGCTCATGTATTAAGGGCTCTGAATGATAGTTGCAATTAATTACATGTTTATTTCTAACTATAAAGAGATACTATATTAATTCAATTGCCTATTAAAAGGTGTGCTTAAGGAAAGGAGAAGAGTCATGAAATTTAAATTCTAATTAGCTTTATAATAGATTACAGAGTACCTGGGAACTTTTTCCACAAATTATGGAAGTGAGAATTTTTTAGAAAACAATGGAGCCTGTGGACCAGGGATGTGAGTCACTGGTACACTGCTTGTCTTGCATGCATGAGGTCCTGAGTTCAGTTCCCCACCCCTACAAATAATAGCAGTAATGATGGGGCCAGGAACTTGCAATGAGAGAGGCTGCCCCTGGAAGAGCTACCTAAAAAGAGCTGAGTTGGTATGTTTAAAGGAACTGTTGACCATGACCTGGGTCAATGCAACTGTCCTTTCCTCTGACAAATGCACTGCAAATTGCATTGATCATAAATGTACTTCAGTGGGACCACATCATCTCTTAGCACAACTATCTCCCCGAGGAAGGAGTGAGCCAATCTACTGAAATCTACTTATACCTACACACACACACTTTTGCTTAGAGAGCAGGCTTTGGCGTTACCTGGCATCTAACTATTAGAAATTAAAAGGAGAGTACCCCTGGAGCCTGTTCTCGACACCATCACTACTAGACCCAGTCACCCTGTCAGACCTACCTGTTCCTCCACCCAGAGAAAAGCACTGGCTCAAAAAAATCTATCAGGAGACTGAGCAGAGACCCTAGAGTCCTAAGTATTGCAGGCAACACACCCACCACCACCACCTGTACTTTGTTCTGGCCAATGTGACAAGTATGCTTCTAGCACTTCTCGAATCTCTCCAAATCATCCCTGGTAACTGAGGAAAGAGGAAACTAAGCAAGGGCAAAAACACGCAGTTTTTTTTTTTTTTTGAGACAGGGTCTCCCTATAGCCACAGCTGGTCTGGACTCACTATGTAGACCAGGCTGACCTCAGTCTTACAGAGCTCCAACTGCCTCTGCCTCCCAAGTACTGGGATTAAAGGTGTGTGCCACCATGCCTGGCCAGGACTCTCCTTTTAAAAACATGTTTTCAACTTTCTAGAAGGCTTTATCTTTTAAAAGCTAAGTAAGGGGGTGGAGAGATGGCTCAGTTGTGAAGAGCACAGGCTGCTCTTATAGAGGACCTGAGTTCCATTCCCAGCACCCACATGGCAGCTAACAACCATCTGTAACTCCAATTCCAAGAGAATCTTGAGACCTTCTTCTGACCTCTGTGGGCATTGCACAACACAGGTACACTTACACACATGCAGGCAAGACACTCATACATATAAAATAAAAATAATAAAATATGTTTTAAAAAGCTAAGTAAATTTACCACCCCTCTCAATGCTATTGAATATAAAGCATTTTAAATAAGTAAAATATTTGAATAAATAAATAAAAGGTTGATACTCTAGGAAGATATCCACGATCAGTCCATGGCTTCACACACCCCTAGCATAGCAACCATACTGCCACCAAGAGTAACTCCAAAAGGGAGACCCATAGATACTTAGACACCAATGCCTGAGTTTATGCATGATAGACTCATCCTTAATCCCACACATCCTTATTTTTTGAAGTAAATATTAAGGAAAGAAAATGAGAAGAGAAAAACTGAGTGAGTCAAAGTTATCTATTTCTATGTTTGTGCATGAACATGTGTACACAGGTGTACTCTTGGGCATACATGTGGAGGCCAGAGATTGATGTCCTCACATGTTGGATGTCTTCCCTATTCTGTTTCTGCATTTTTTTAGACTGGGTCTCTTCTAGCTGTTTTTAGACTGTCTAGCCAATGAGTATACCCCACCCTGAATCTACCTACCCTTCTCCCCCACCCCACCCACTGCTGAAGATACAGACTGCAGACATGTGCTGCTGTGCCTGGCTTTTATGTGGAGGCTGGGGATCCAAATCAGGTCCTCATATTTATAGAGCAAATACTTTACCCACTGAGCGGTCTTCCCAGCCCTCAAAGTTACACATTTCAAAAACTATTTTCTCATTTTAATTTTTAAGTATCTTAGATAAACTTTGTCTCTATTAGTCCGAATTAATGAGTTGCAAGAGGATGTCTTTTCTCACTACCTGCAATTTGCTCCTGGACCTCACATTTTATCTCCTTTTTAAAGTTTTTGAATTTATTTTAATTTTATGTGTATGAGTGTCTTGTTTGCATGTAAGTAAGTACACCACATAAGTGCAGTGCCGGCAGAGGCCAGAAGACAGCGTCCAATTCCAGGAGTCCTGGAACTGGAGTTCCAGATGGTTGTGTGAACTGCCATGTGGTTGCTGGGAACTAAACCCAGGTCCTCTGTAAGAGCAGCCAGCGCTGTTAACCACTGAGCTATCTCTCCAGCCCCTTGTTTGTTTATTTATTTATTTATTTATTCTTTTATTTATTTTGAGACAGGGTCTCACATAACCCAGGATGTCCTCAAACTTTCTATGTATGTGAGGATGACCTTGAATTCCTGATCCTCATGCCTCTACCTCCCAAGTGCTGGCTCTCTCAATTTATTTTAGCTGTGTACTTTAACATGCATAATAAGAAAGATCTATACAAAGTATCTAGTTTATTATCTCATTTTTTTCTCTTCCAGTTATAGTCTTTCTTGGCCGTTGGAAGACTGGGGCTGACTGAAGTGAACCAGATGAATGCATTAAACAGGAAAACTTGGTAATTTTAGAGTAAGGGCAGTGGGAGATTTTGAAGTACCAATTTTCTTTCTCTATATGTTTTCCCTTCCCCTTTTCAAACAGGCTCTTTACTTTCTTCCCTTGGAGCTTTGTAATAAGCTCCTAAAAGTCTAACATAAGGGCCACAAACAAAGTGGGCTATGTTAAGACAAGAGGGCAACGGGTGGACTGTTGTGGGGAGCATCTGCTCCCACCACAGAGGCCAGTGGTTCTCTTGCTGATTGTTGCCATGTATAGGAATGAGAGCTGAGTACTGGTGAACCTTACTCATATTTTATGAAAGCCTCAAAATCTGCATTCGTAAACATGAAACCTCTGTATGTTTTCCCATGCCAACTCATTTAAATTTTACAAAAGAAAATATGTGTCAGGATTCAAACTCAAGGCATTGGCTAGACCCAGTCCATGGGATTACTGTCTGTGAGTTTTGTCTCAAACTCACTAGAGAATATTAATGGACAGGTTTCCCTTTACCTAATAATAATGATGGAGAGAGGCCTCCTCTCAAATCAATGACTATTAAGACTTGCACTTTAACACTAAGATGATGCAGATCTTATTTACACATCAAGGATAACTCTATTCAAGCTGAGGCAGGTGGGATGATATTGACACTGAGCCCTACTAAGGCAAGGATACTGAGAGTTGAATGAAAGTCCTTAATTGTATTTTCTCTAGAACAAAGCCTTTCTACCCAGTCTTCTCTGTATAATGAATGCTCAGCAGCATGGTAGACATGGGTGAGAACTGCATTTATTAACTGCAAGTACTTTTGATCTTTCAAGTATAACTAGAGCAAGCCATTTGACTTGTGGCTTTATATTATTTATAAATAAATAATATAAATAAATATAATAAATAATTAATGAGAGTAACTCAGGTTTCGTATTTCAGTTACTGGGAGCAAACCAGTTCCCCACCCTTGAGCCCACTGCCTATCCTCTCCCCATTTCAGCAGTGCCCCAATAATACTTTGTCATTCTAGCCTACCAGGGCAGGAACACAAAACAGCATATTAGCTATTTTCTCCTATCAGGAATGTGGAGGGAGGGACAGAGACCAGACCCACAAGCATTTCAATGTCTGTAGTTTAGTCTCTGACAGGTGACCTCCCAAAAGCAAAGTGGCAGCCAGTGTGGCCCCATGGTCAGAACTAATGAGAAATCCACACAATATCCTCTCAAATCGCTTTTCAGAAGTACATGAATTTTATATTTGTTGAAATTAGTTTTCTTTCCTTCTTGAGACAGGAGCTCCCTGTAGCTCCAGGTGGCCTAGAATCACTATGTAGATCAGGCTGGCTGCAATATCACAGAGATCCTATGAGATTGCCTGTCTTTGCCTCCCAAGGGCTTGGATTAAAGTGTGCATCATGATATTCAGCTTCTCAGTAGTTGCTTGCTACTAAAAGACTATCCCTGGGCTGGAGAGGTGGCTTACCAGGACCCAGTTTCAGATCCCAGCACCCACATGGCAGCTAACAACTGTTTATAACTCTAGTCCAAAGGGACCTAGTGCCCTCTTCCAGCCTCCATGGGCTTTGCATGACACAAGTACACTTACACACATATGCAGGAAAAATACTCATACACATGAAATTTAAATAAATAAATAAATAAATAAATAAATTTTTCTAAAGGCTAGCCCTTACCCATGGCATGGAAGGTTGTCCCACTTTTGGTAGGCTCAGATACTGTAATTATCAACGGTTTGCTTACACCTGAAATCCCTTGAATCTAAAGGCAAAAGAAGTAAAAATTAGTCAAAAGAGTATTCACTGATTCCAAAGCAACTGCTTCCCAATCTTCTTTGTGATGAATGTAAGAAATAAGCTGAAACCTAGAACTGGGTCTTCACCTTAAGCTCTCTCTCTCTCTCTCTCTCTCTCTCTCTCTCTCTCTCTCTGCTATATAGTTCAGGCTAGCCTCCAAGTCCCTATCATCCCTCCCTGACAAATTGCTGGGATTCAGGCCCCCAACCTAGTCAACCTTTTTACTTTGAAACTCCCTTTCACATTGTTTCAAAACCTTTTGGACCAGCAAATTGTCTTTTGCATGTTTATGGACAACAGAGCTCCTTACTTATAAACTAGACTGGCATACCCTATTTGGAAAGAAGGGACTCGCCAGCAAGATATGGATTACTTTCATACCTACAGTGAAGATCAAGGAGTCAAGGCCCAGCCTTCCCAGCATGGCAGGAATTGTCTTCCTTTCTTAGACTTTTACTCCATAAGTAACAAAATCTGCTACCAGAATGCAAGTAGTCAGGGAGTAATAATTAAACTATCATAGCTAAATAGTGTGTGGTCTCATTTAGTCATCACAGTAACATGTCAAGATGGCTGCTGCCAGTCTCCATATCTCATTAAGTAGGAAACTAAAAGGCCAGAACAATTAAGCAGATTACCTATGGTTCATGCACCTGGTCAACATTTAAACCTAACTCCAAATCTTGCCCTCTTATCTACTAGCTATTTTTGAATACACAACAAACTGTTGTTGAGTTTTCAAGTCACTTATGGAGCATGCTGCAAAGCAAATGGCTCTTTAGAAATTATACTTCTGGGACTGGAGAGGTGGCTCAGCCATTAAGAGCACTGGCTGCTCTTGCAGAGGACCCGGGTTTGGTTCCCAGCATCCACATAGTAGCTAACAGCCATCTGTCCATAACTCCAGTTCCAGGTGGTATGACTCCCTCTTCTGGTCTCCACAGGCATTGCACAACAGGAGCGCCTTTACATACATGCAGGCAAAAACACTCATATACATAAAATAAATAAACTTTTAAAAATTATACTCCTTACCTGCTCACAGGATTTAGGAATAATGATAGGTGCAACATATGGTTCTTCCGTCTTGGTATTAATTACATGGCCATATACAAGAATAACGAATTTCATAGTCTCATGGTTAAGAGCCATTTCATTATAGTTTGACAGAGTCTCCACATACACGTTATTGAACATCACACACTTCTGAAATTTTAATTCCTACAATGAAATTGTATTTGTTCTATAAATCCAACAAATGAATATAAGATATCAAGTGATCTGAGTTCCTTGAGAATATCAGAATACACAAAGACCCTGGCACTGACAGAATTTCTTTAGAGTTCAGAATGGCCTCTGCAAGTGCAAGGCTTTGTTATTGCTTCTTGACCCAATAAACACCAGTTGCTTCTTGACTTCAATAAATGTCATCAATCATATAAATGGACTCAAAGACAAAAACCATATTGTCATCTCAATAGATGCAGAAAAGGCTTTTGACAAAATTCAGCATGCATTCATGATAAAAGTTCTAAAGGGAATTGGACTGGAGGGAACATACCTCAACATACTTAAACCTATATACAACAAACCCACAGCTAACATCATTCTAAATGGAGAAAACCTGGAAGCATTCCCCTTGAAATCAGGAAGCAGACAAGGATGTCCACTATCTCCACTCCTTTTCAATATAGTGCTTGAAACTCTTGCTAGAGCAGTAAGACAAGAGAAGGAAATTAAAGGAGTACTAATTGGAAAAGAAGAGGTCAAATTATCCCTTTCTGCAGATGATATAATATATACCTAAGAGATCCCAAAAGTTCCACCAGAAAATTCCTAGATTTGATCAACACTTTCAGTAAAGTGGCAGGTTACAAAATTAACCTACAAAAATCAGTGTCCTCTCTTTGTACCAATAACAAGCAATTGGAGAAAGAGTACAGGGAAATGCTCCCATTCACAATAAGCAAAAAAAAAATCTTGGAATAAAACTGACCAAAAACATCAAAGATCTCTGCAATGAAAATTTTAAATCTTTAAAGAAAGAGATTAGAGAGGACACCAGAAGATGTAAGGACATCCCATGCTCATGGGTTGGAAGAATTAATATTGTGAAAATGAACATCATACCAAAAGCAATATATAGATTCAATGCAATCCCAATCAAAATCCCCATGACATACTTCACAGAATTAGAAAAAAAAATCCTTAAATTGGTATGGAAGCACAAAAGACACCAGATAGCCAAAGCAACCCTGAGCACAAAGAGCAACACTGGGGGTATTATTATACCAGATCTCAAGTATACTACAGAGCTATAGTCATAAAAACAGCATGGTACTGGCACAAAAAAATAGACACATAGATTAATGGAACATCATTGAAGACCCAAACCTGAGTACACACAATTTCAGCCACCTGATATTTGACAAAGGTGCCAAGAACACACAATGGAGGAAAGACAGCATCTTCAACAAATGGTGCTGGCAAAACTGGATAAGGATGAAATTAGATCCTTATCTTTCACCTTGCACAAAAGCCAACTCCAAATTAATCAAAGACTTCAATGTGAAACTGGAAACCCTGAAACTATTAGAAGAAAATATTGGCAGCAACTAACAAGATACAGGTGTAGGAAAGGATTTTCTAAATCAGAGAGCAGTTGCTCAGGAATTAAGGTCAACAATCAACAAGTGGGACCTCATTAAATTAAAAAGCTTCTGTACAGCAAAGGAAACCAGGAAGTGAAGAGAAAATCCACAGAGTGGGAAAA